AGACAAGGCCCTGAAACTGGAGCAGGGGCTCCCCTCTTTAATACTTGCTTAATTTGCTGCAGGAAATAAATAAATAAATCTAAGTGGAATTTTCCCATATCCAATAAAGAAAGAAAAAATGTCCTAAAATAAACTCACTCACGGGTAGGAAAGAGGGAACCAATTACAAGGAACTATATGTGACCTCCTCCCTGGGGGACGGACAACGGAGGGGTGGGGGGGGGAGACGTCGGTCAGGGCAATATAGGACAAAATAATGATTTATAAACTATCAAGGGCTCATGAGGGAGGGGGGAGCGGGAAGGGAGGGTCAAAATGAGGACCTGGTGCCGGGGGTTTAAGTGGAGGGAAAATGTTTTGAGAATGATGAGGGCAATGAATGTACAAATGCGCTTTACACAATTGGTGTGTGTATGGATTGGGATGGGAGTTGTGTGAGCCCCTAATAAAATGATTTTAAAAAAATAAAAAAATAAACTCACTTCATTGTTTGAATACCTTTCTAGTCTTCCAGAGTAAACTATCTGGCAAGATGCACAAATATATTTAAACCAGCTACTTAAGTTAGTTACAGGGGGTGATGCTGTTTCAAGCGCAACCTGACTAAGCGCATCTCGCATGTTGTTAACAAAGTTACACTACATAATAATATTTTAATCGGCTACAGAGAACAATAATAGATCTGACTGCTGGGCTGACAATCGTCTTATCACACCCTGTGAAATCTAGCTCTAATATTTGACGGAGCCTCCGTTCCCTGGCAGCCCATTCTGAAAAAGGCCAACAATGGAGAGAGAGCGAAGTGGAGTGTGCAGTACCTCCGTATCTACATAAAAGAGATTAGAGGCGACAGCGTTCCATTTTACAGCTCAATCATACTGTGTTAGCATGCGCTTATCCGAGCGCGGACGAAATTGAAAGAGAAATAAAAAAGAGTCAGGCAGATAGGAACCAGAAAAGCGAGGCATGAGCAATTTCCAAGGATATAAAAGGATGCTAATGGTGGGGCCCTGTCATTCTTAAAAAGGGCTATTAAGGCACCGTCATCTGTTCTTGTGCCCTTACGTTCCTCCAGCTAAAGTCCAGCATTTTCCAAAGCCCTTCTGCTCCTTTTCCTCTATGGATAAAGGATGCTCATGTTTCATAACAACATGCTTTTCCACTTATATGACTTATGAATGTGAGTCAACTAATTCTATTTACTGATCTAAAGACACGCACACAATACATCCCAGGTGTTTTCTTCACTATTTTCTTTGGTTGAGTTCTTCACTTTTCTGTGTATCTAAAGCAAGCACACAAAAGTACGTTCCCAGCACTGAAGAGAGGTCTGATTTTTCTTAGATGCGAAACTTAATTTCAAAAACATATTTTTATATGTGTGCATGTGACACAAATGGTGAATACACAGTGAGAGCAAACGCTTGGGTGTCAGTCTATTGACTTAAATTCTTTTTTTAATTTAAAATTTCACCTGAGGATTACTAAAACAATGGGTTTTGAAGTTATGACTAACATGGGTGAAATTTCAGTTTTGATCTGGCTTCCATTCTGGTCCTAGTTATCAGGATGGATTCCTGTGAGCAAGAATGTGATTACAGTTTTTTACCAAAGCAGCAGTGTGACTTTAATGGTCTTATTCTTTTGGCGTTTACCCGGCCCTCAGATGCCCAGACTTCCAGAACCCAGAGTGATCTCTGATATCCGGGCCATCGATCCCTCCCCTTCAACCTGAAAGTGCCAGATGCCATACTTAGAGTTGGAAAATTCAAAAGAAGTTAATTCTTGTTTAGCTAATCCCTTCCTGCAAAGCCAAGATACTCGTGGCATTCATTTAGAGCACCCTCAGGGAACCCGGTGAACGGAGCTGTGAATCAGCTCTCCACAGTGACCTCCGCTGCCATTGGCAGTAGAGAGGGAGTCACATCGGTCCCCACCGATTCTGAGTCTCAGCTGAACACTGAACACATAATCGTATAGTAATTGCTTCCACCACTGGAAATGGCGTTCCTCATAGTTATTTAAAGTTACTGTCTTTATAGCAGTCACTATAACCCCTTAACTGTGACAAGTTCCTTTCTAAGCTGACATTTCTACTCAGATGCACAAATAGACCCACACGTGTACCCCTGAGCTTTCCTTTCCAGAAAGCACTGTGGACTTTATTTCCTCTGTATCCGGGAAGTCTGTATGCTACAAATATAACTGTTTGGCTTAACACACCTCTCTGTTTAGAGAGAACACGGCAGAGTTCTCGGGATAATGGGTAGAGTGGAAAGGCAGTGGCACAGTCGTCCGTGCAGTTGATGTTACTAATAACAACAATTTCATCACCATTATTATTTTGAAATAGTTCCTTCCAATGCAGTCAATTCGGGGACTAAAATATCCTGAATGTGTGTTTTGAAGGTACTTGATACATTTCTGCCAGTGTTTTTAACTCTCTATGTGACAAACCTCTCCATCTTCGAATTGAGGATAATAGGGTCTGATTCCTGGGTTAGGCCAGTGGTTCTCAACTGGGGGTTATTTTGTCCCCCAGGGGACATTTGGCAGTGTCTAAAGATAGTTTGGGGTTGTAGCAGCTGAGGGGTGCTACTGGCATCTAGTGGGAAGAGGCCGAGAGTGATGCTGCTGAACATCTCACAGTACACAGAGTGCCCCCACCCCCACCCAGCTGCTCCAATGTCAAAGCCAATAAACAGTACCGGGGTGGAGAAAGCCTGGGTTAGGATAATCACACTCATGTTTGCAAGGGGGCTTCAAAAAGTTTGTGCAAAAATCCTATTATGGTTCAATTCCATTTTTTCCATGAACTTTTTTGAAGCCTATATATACAGAGAAGTAGATATAGTTATATATAGATAGATATCGATAGACACAAAGATACAGAGGCCTCAAAAAGTTCACTGCAAAATGGAAATACATAAATATATATGTGACCAAAAATTGATGGAAAAATATATACTGCGAACATGTAATTATATATTATATGCAGAGTCATATATAAATTATACTATAGTAATATGTGACAATACTATACACTGATTAACAGTGGTTCTCAAACCTTCCTAATGCCATGACCCTTTAATACAGTTCTTCATGTGATGATCCCCCCAACCATAAAATTATTTTCACTGCTACTTCGTAACTGTAATTTTGCTACTGTTATGAATCATAATGTAAATATCGGATATGGCAGATATATTTTCATTGTTACAAATTGAACATAATTAAAACATAGTAATTAATCACAAAACAATATGTAATTATATATTGTGAAATACTGATTTCTAATGACAAATAAATGAAATCTTGTCTTGAAGCATGGTGTAGCATGGGTAACAGTCTTCATGCCAGGTACTCATTTCTGGGAGTATCTGCATGTGGGCGGACCCACCTGGAGCTGGAGAGAGGGGCAGTGTCATGGTTCCTGAGACCATTAGAAATAAGTGCTTTCCGATGGTCTTAGACGACCCCAGTAAAAGGGTCCTTCAAACCCCAGAGGGGTCGTGACCCACAGGTTGAGAACTGCTGATCTAAAACTTTGGTAGCTACTCCATCAAATGCATATTTCCTTTCTTTCTGCTCTAAAATACCTTTCCAATAACATTTCCCCATCAAAGGGATTTTTCACATATTGTTTAAGCAAAGTCCAGTTGTTTCCACAGTCACAGTTCCTAAACACCATAACATATTTTAGCATTTCCCTTTGGTCTCTGCTTTTTCTAAAGGTCACATATATGTAATTCCCCCAGGGCAGCATGAGCTATGCACACGATCACATTGTCACCCTCCTCTGAGATGCAGAAATCCTGGCATGGGCATCTTCTGAAGAGCACACTCAAGCTCACCTATTTAACTAGTTTTGACTTAATTTGGGGTGCTTTATTAGCAAACAGTGTAAGACAAAGTAGCTAGTATAATACAGAGTGATGTTTAAATTAGTTTACAATTTGCTTGGCCTCATCTAGAACTGCACCGAACAAAGCCATTCAGAAATGTCAGCTGTGTTCCTAACCACTGTAACAAATTGTCGCCTGAACGCTGCACACCTAATGACTTCAAATTAGCTTCACGGCGATATCGCCTGACAGTTCGTTACGACTGTTAGCAACACTGCTGGCGTATCATGACCAATAAATTGGTTTCAGTGTGGGCTGGGAAAGGGACTTCCATCAATTTGATTAAAGAAATTACTGTAGCATTCAAAGCATAAAGACAAACTAGTTTAAGGAGACAGAAATAAGTTAACTGTACCAGAAAAAACATTGCTTCATCATTCAAAAACTTGTTTATAAACCATTTGAGTTCAGAGTTCAAACAAACAAAAAATTAATACAAACAGCTAACTAAAATTCTTCACATTTGTGATCAAGTCCCTGCTTATTGCATTACAGGATGGATCAAGGAAGAAAAATAGAATGCGTAAAAGTACGAACTTTAAATTGCCTTAAAAAAAACCTACCATGTCATTTAACATATGCTCATGTCTTTGGTTATATATAAAACCACAAGAAATATTTCATTATAAACCGATGGGTAACTGTGACTGTGTTTAGCAATTCAGTATGGAAGCCACCAGGAAGAACAAAACGAGTGATTCTGCTTATAAAGAAAAAAAATACAGGCTAGGCGGCTTCTTAGAAAAAAAATCTTATTCCTTAAGGTAATAAGAAAAAGTAGAAGTATTTTGTCCGAGAAAAAGCATACACGTTTGAGAGGGGGAAAAAAGCCATATTCCCTTGGGTAACTTCCATATAAGAAAAAAACAACACCTTAACAAAAGCCCTGGGCGTAGAAGCAAAGAGAAGGCTTTCCTTCCATTAGGATAAGTGAAGTCCTGAATTTAAATGTGGGGGTTAGGGGGTGGGATGGAGTAAAGCTTAAAAAAAAATCTTAAGGAGGAAAATTTGAAATCACTTATTTCTATGTAAATACTCTAGGAAATAAATTGCAACCTCCCACCCGACACACACACACCCATTGAGAAAATGTACCTGGAATATGCTTCGCCCATCCAATGATAACCACCAGTTCTCGGTCAGCCAGGTCACACAGTGTAGTGAGGGCTTTGATGTCACTGTCGGGGACAGTAGGATCAGGCATGGCATAGATCTTCTCCGGTTCAGCCACCAACAAATGTGAGACAATCTTGTTATCTGCAGGATCAGACCAGAGCACTACAAGATCACTAGTAGTATCATCCCTTTTTCACAAGCCTAAAAGGACCCTGTGTGAGGCAAAAGAATGTCAAATGGCCTATCGTAGACCCAAATATCCCATTTAGGATTCCATATATGCATGTTAACAGACATCAGTAAACCCAACAGCAATAAACAACCCATTGTGGTCGGAACAGAATGCATTTCTGTGCTTCCTCCTTGCTCTCCCCTGCCTTCGTGGACCAATGAGTCTGTCCTGAAATGGAAATTTTTGGAGCAAACAGATAAACAGAAGTTAGATGCTTTCTGGTTTCCTCTTGGGGTCCTAAGTGGGATTGTGGGAAGCGGATTGACATTGTATTCAACAGCTTGAAAACAGAAATCCTGAAGTAAACCTCTGAAATACAGAATACAGTGTGGGAGGCCAACAACTACTAAGGCCATCGTCATCATGGGTATGAGAGTCATTAATTGTCTTAATTCCTTTAAAGAAGAGCAAAGGTCAAAGCCCTTCTGCCTGGGTGAATTACTGACTATATAACTCTATCTCTGTGAGACGCATTAAATTAGAATGTCTTTGCTTCCTCTGCCCTCCCCCTAGACCCAGCCAGCTTTCCAAATACAGGTAGTTGGAAGCCAGGAAAATACTCCTACTTAAACACTACACTCTCTTCTCCTCCAAGTTTCTAACTCTTTAATACTCCATTTTCTCTGTTGTCTTTACTCCAGTTTCTGGTTCAGATTTATCTGTCTGAAATTTGTGATAGATGTTTGAAAAATCCTTCCTAAAATAAACACTGGAGATAAATGGAAAGCATCACATCAAATGTGTTTTATTGCCCAGGGGCATGTGAGGTTTTATGGAAGGGGTTGTAAAGCCTTGCCAACGAAATGACTTTTCTAGTTGGCTCCATTTTCGATTTCCATGTGTAGCTTTAGATTTTATATTTTCTCCTAAGTGATAAGACACAGATGGGTAAGAAGAAACCAACATATTTGAACGCACTATGTACTGTGAACCCAGAGAAGTACGGTAGGAAGCAGTCTCTTTCTGAGTGCAGACAAGGTCTCCAGTGTAAGGATTGGAGCATTTGTCTTTTGCCAGAAAGTTTTTGCACTTTTATAACCAACATGGCAAGGACCGCATGTCGCTTGGAATGGAAAACATACTGTCCTTCAGCCTCCTTTCGGAATGTAAGGAGCAAATTTCTCTGGGCCACAATTAGCCTTTTTTTCCCCTAAGAGATGATAGTATCAAAATATATTCGCATGGTTGCCATATGAATTATAGTTACTGCACATATCCACCAAAAATATATCAAAAGTTCAACAGTCATTAGCAGTAATATTTGTGCATCATCGAATTAAAAAGTCAAATGTAAGGCGGGACATGCTTCCCAACACTGTCTGTCCTAGGAAAATATTAAAAAGAAATCATTTTTCTAAATCTGGAGGGTTGACAAAGAGTAACATTTGTCTCCTATCTACACGAGAGTAACAGCACCGTGTACTTTTAAGTCACATTTTGAAGTTTCAATCCCACTGTTCCGACAATGTAAGGAAGCCGGTCAGTAACTCCGAGATGCACCGGATGAGAAGAGAATGTACTAAGAAAGGGCGCTGTAATGCAACCACAGGAAATCCTTATTCTACTTAGAGTGCTACCCATTTTACCCAAGTCAATGGGCCCCCGACTGGCGGGGTCGGAGAGATTTGGTTGAAGCTGTGAAATCTTCAACCTTCAGAAAATGGAATAGCCGGCAGCAATCTTTCTAGGTAAATCTTATTTAATGTTTCTCTAATTAGAATCAATAGAACCCAATTTTCATTCTTGGGCCAATGGAGGACACAAACAATCAGTCAGGGTCCAGAGACCACCCCAGCCACTTTCTCAGAAAAGTCCACGCACCAACTCCTGACACTTATCTGACAGGATCGGAAAATTAAGTTTTATAAATGTTTGTTACAAAAACACACTAATTGGAAAGACTAAGGAAAATAACAGAGGCCTTTAGATAATGAGTAATGATTTATTAGAAGTCCTCTTTATCTCAGACAAGTGAAGCTCACTGAAATAGCTGTAATCTTCTTAAAGGTACTTGACAAGTCACTTCCCCAATTTCTCAGGTTTACAGAGAAGATGATGGACATTTCTCCATCATGAGGTCTTACCTATGGGCTGGGCTCATTTTTCTGCCAATAGAGGAAATTACCAATGGGGTTCGGTCAATGTCTGTCTGGGTAAAATGAACAAGAAACAGGCAGCCTGTATACTGTTGTCTCCAGGAAAACTAAACCTCTAATGAAATTAAGCATTAGTGCTTATTGCATTTTATGGTATTATCAGGAAGTTGTGGGCTTTTTTAATTATAATGTGCAAAATCTGCTTAATGCAGCCCTAGATTGTATTTGCGGAATGCCAAACAGCTTATGCCGGCCGAGGAGAAGACTCCAGCTTAGACAATTGGAGGTATAATCAACGTAATGGTTTTTTGGAAAGGCAAAAGTAAACTATGCCATATGTTCACTGAAGCTTTAATTTTATGTAAAACGGGTGGCTTTTCCTTTGACATAGCTAAAATGTCCTTTCATTTACAGTTCAGGGTCTGTTTTATTTGTTTAACACATCCCCCATATGCTCACATGTAGGATACACAGCAGTGACCCCTCCTGGAGAGTTAGAATGAGAAACATGTTCCCCCTGGGAAGCTGGTATGGTGAAACTCACCCAAGCCTTCTCTAGAACTATTAGAGATGCAGCCTCCTCCGATGAATGCTGATTGTGTTGCTTTAAACAAAAACAGCTAAATATGAGAATTATTATGAGGATTATTTCTACCAAAGCAGTTCTAAGTGCCTCATAGGAACTCTGACTATGCATCCTAAAATATTAGCTCTATTGCACGACAGCTACTGATCTCTGTACACCCCACCCACCCACCCACACCCCCCAAATGGGATACAGTTATTGCCTCAATCCAGGTCTTTCTAGTTAACGACAAAGAGCATGGGGCTTACATTAGCAATGTACCAGTCATCCTTCCAAATTGCAACCTGGCATCATAAACCCACGGACTCTTTGAAAACAATTCATAATGCCCATAAGGACACCTGAGATGGAACCACCAACCTATGCTTCTTATTAGTGGGGCCCATTCCGCTTTTAATCTATTGCTAGCTGCTGTGTTAACCTTCTATAGCTCCAAATTAATGAGGCCCCTAATGTATTTTCTTTGGGAGGTTGAGCAGTCAAACTCATTTAGTTAGGGAAAACTACAAAAATCACTTTCTTGTGAAATCTGAAACTAACAGCTCCAATGAACTAATGATCACAGTATGATCCATTTTATGTACTTCTGAAAATAAAGATAACCAGTAAATGTAAAATCTACACTCTGTAAGCTATGCATGAATATGCTGGTGCTTCCACAAAGTAACTGGGTGAAAAAAGGCAAGAGAAAGAAAACCATAAAAACCTTTGAAAAGAGGGGGAAAAAGATAATTAGCCACATTGCTGTTGTTTTTCACTGGCAGGGCTTGGGAATGAATCCCTAACGTCCTACCAGAGAGAAGTCTCCTTGTAGTAAGGAGAGACACGTATGGCAAAGCTAATGTTGTCAAGCCAACTGGGAAGAATCCATGTGCTGGGAGCCAGGCATATCGGCTGTACTTACATGGCTTTTTGGCTGGCTGAACCAGCTGAGGGTTCAGGTAGGGGCTGTTCTCCGCATCTATTCTGCGCTTGTACTTCTGCCGACCTCCACGTACTCTGTCAAGACGCACCCCTTGGGAGAAAGAAAGACAGGCACGTGCTTACTGCTCAGGTGGGACCTCTGAGATCAGCCATATACATTGACAGTGTGACTCGGGGGCTGTGCCGAGACAGGTCATAGCCCAGAGAATGCCTCAGGGATTACACAATTGCCTTTGAGTGCACTCCAGCCTCAAATGGATCAGAACAGAACAGAGCACTATAGAGTTTTTATGACTCAGGTTTCAAAAGTAGATCATCAGGCCTTTCTTCCCAGGTACCCCTGGGTGGTAGGCTTCAAACCATTAAGCGTGTGGTTGGCCATGTTAACTACACCACCCAGGGACTCCTCTTCATGAATAGTATATACATATAATTTTTTCGGATGCTAGCTTCAGATTCCTAGTGTTTGGAAACCAAATCTGCTAGTAGATAACAGTCCTGAAAGATAGTTTAGGCAAGCCATCCAAGTAGCATTTATGCATTACAGAAAACATGCAGGCCCATACGAATGAACACAAAGAAGCAGTAACTTAACACTGGTCATTTCTCAAATTAGAGACACCGGCTTATTGTTTTCTCTTTACCGGTCACCCCAGAGAACTCAGCGCACGTTACTGTTGTTATTGGGTAACTGAGAGTTGACGTCAACTCATATACTTACTGCAGTCAAGTCAATTCTGCCTCACAGTAGCCTACAGGATAGGGTCAATCTCCCCCGCTGGTTCCCAGATGGCCACTGTTTCCAGGGGTGGAGCCTCGTCTTTCTCCAGAAGAGGAGGGGGTAGTTTCAAACAGCTGGCCTTACACTTGGTAGCCCACCCCATCATCCACTACGTCACCAAGGCTGGCTCCTTTCTACGCATGGTGAGTCCATTTTATAGAACTTCCTTGGCCGGTTTTCTAAGAGAAGATTACTAAGCCTTTTTCCTGCAGAGCCAGTGAGTGGCACACCTTTCCGTCAAGGTGTGCTGAGCACTTACCATGGCAAGAGTCCCTCTTCCCCCCTCCCTTGGCCTCCCAGAGAACTGAATGTGATCGGGTGTGAATGGAGAGGCACCCACATGCTGGAGGAATGACACTAGATGAATGCAGTCCCGTCAGATCGAGGGCTGCTTGCTCCACAGGCAAAGTCAGCCTGTGGCTGGAGGGCAGTGGCGGCGACATGTTGCCCCCCCCCCCCCCCACTGTGTGCGTCATTGCAAAAGAAGAATGACAAGGGGGGCGGGGCTTCCTGAAGGCAGGATGCAGAAGCCCGTGCTGTCCAACTCATAAGGAAGAGGGGAAGGTTTGGACGGGAAATTACATAGATCAAAGCACGGTGACCGGAGTAAAATTCTCTCCAAGAATGGTAGACTGGGGTCAACATGCAGGCTTTTTGTTGCTGTCGGCAGTGGATTTATAAGATTAAGGAGAAAGGCAAAATGTAAAGAAATAGATGAAAAAGAAGAGGTGTTTCCTTTACGTGGCGAAGCATGGGGTTGTGCTTGCTACGATGGTTTCCAGTGTGTGTTGCAAAGTGTAGGAGAGGGCCTGACAAACCTTCCCCAGTGCTGGTAAGAGGACTCAGGAGCCAGGAGCAAGGAAAGACTCTACTACTGTAGTACTATTAGGTGGCGTTTTAATAGTCAGAACTGGTACAGATAGGAACTGGAAACACGGGGAATCCAGGACAGATGATCCCTTCAGGACCAGTGGTAAGAGTGGCAATACCAGGAGGGTGGAGGTAGGGTGGGGTAGAAAGAGGGAACCGATTATAAGGATCTACATATAACCTCCTCCCTGGGGGATGGACAACAGAAGAGTGGGTGAAGGGAGATGTCGGACAGTGTATGATGACAAAATAATAATTTATAAAATATCAAGGGTTCATGAGGGAAGGGGGAGCAAGGAGGGAGGGGAAAAATGAGCTGATACCAAGGGCTTAAGTGGAGAGCAAATGTTTTAAGAATGATAAGGGCAAAGAATGTATAAATGTGCTTGACACAATGGATGTACATATGGATTGTGATAAGTGTTGTATGAGTCCCCAGTAAAATGATTTAAAACAAAACAGTGTAAGATGATCAGTGCTTCTAACTGGTTCATTTTGGCTTAGCCCCCTACCAAAAATGTGTATTTCTGCCCAAGATATGGTGAATCTTATTCTACATTTTAACAAAATTCCCTGGGTGATTCATATACACGAAGAAATTCACGTGCATTGACAAAATCCACAAGGCAACGAACATATTGTGTGTATTTTGACATTCTTCAGATGGTTGTAAGAAATAAGATTCGGAGACCCACATGGGCAGTTCTGCTCTCTCTTATAGGGTTGCTATGAGCTGGAATCAACCTCATGGCAGTGACTTTTTTTCTAGAGTATTTTACTAAACTCAAGAAAAATAAATATATCAATGTTAGGTTGCTATTTGCCTTAGTAGTGAAAAAATTCTCCTTTATGAGTATGTCTTTCCTCTTTATTTCATTTTTAAATACCCTTTCTTAAAAATTTTTTTTACAACAGAAGTAAATCATCATTTAGGATTTCTTTTTCTAATTAAACCTCTTACACAATAAAAAGTTCTCAACCTTAGTTTGATGCAAAATTTTAAAGAATAGCAACATATAACTCAATTACATAAGCCTGACATGTAGCCCACTACACCAACCACTTACTACTACTGCCATCAAGGTGACGCTAAAGAGGCCGGTGCAGAAGATTTGTCCAATACAATATGACCTCTGTTTTCTTAACTGCTGCTTCCATGAGTGTTGATTGTGCATTCAAGCACAATAAAATCTTTGACAATTTCACACAAAAAAAGAAATAAGATCCATTTGAAATCACCACCACCACCATGATTAAAACACCAAACCACTTCTTGGAATATTTAACATGCAAACAGGTTCTATAAAATTGTAAGGGTGGGTCAAACATACGTGATGTTTCCCAAATTGTTTTAAACAAGGACTTTCTTTTTTGGGAAGTACCTATCGATATCGCCTAGGACGTGCAAGTTGCTGGGTATCTGAATTATGTGGAGATAGTTTGAGAAATATGAGGACACTGAAGGATGGCACAGAACTGGGCAATGTTTTCTTCTGCTGTACAGAAGTGGGAACTGATTTGACGGCACCTAATAACAACATGTATATGAATCATATAAGTACACATATACATGTATACCTATATATACACATACATACATGTGTATATACGTGTGTGTGTGTATGTGTGTGAGAGAGAGAGAGAGAAAATGGGGCTTCAAAGAGTTTGGGGGAAAATGAAATGAAAACATAATGGAATCTTTCCACCAACTATTTACAGGCCCCTTGTATGTGTGTATGTCTATTCAAAGGTTCAGGATAATATTACGTATCAATGAGATAAAAGACCACACACTTATCAAGTTTTCCTAGTACATATTATCCTAAAAGCTGCTTATTTTTAGCACAACAAACATATGCTTAGTTCTAGATGTGTCTGTTTCAATCCTGAATTGTCCTACTAGCACATCAGTAGTTTAGATGAAATCAGGAATTTGTCTGAATTTCATTGTATTACATGAATATCAAAACCCTGATGTTTAGTCAGGGTGTATTCACTGAAATCCACCGTGCATGTGGGTCACGAGGCAACTGTATTTCCTAATTGCTGCTTTGACCACACCTTGGGTCTACCTAGAGTTCCTGTCCTTTGTTCACCTAACTAACTTCTCATGCTCTAGTTGTATGGTATACATATTTACTAACGTTTGCTTTCTTTCACTTATTTTCCCCCATTTTATATTTTTTGAAATCTCTTCTTCTTCCAAAACTTTATCTAAGGCATTTTTCCAGTTTATACAAGGTGTCCCTGTCTTACTTGGTCATCTAAAATACACTCAATATATTTAGCTATGTGAATTTTTGAAATAAAATAAAAATGTAAACACTAGGTAATAAAAATCACGAGTCTACTTGAATCCTAGTGAGTTTGCTCTCCAACTTCAACCAGTGACACTGAATCTGATCTGAGAGAGGAGCCGAGAAGGCAAGAAGAGGCCTTGGCAGAGACGAGACAGAGACTGATAAAACCTGGAGAGGAACAGGGCATACTGGATTTTTTTTTTAAGAGAGAGCTTATAGAATAAATCTTGAGTGGGTTGTGGATGCCTAAATTTACTAAAGGTGTCTGTCAAGGAATACATTAATCAAAGGAGTGATTCTCATGTTCTCAGAGATGAATAGATTTTGAAAACCCCACTGCCATTGAGTTGCTTTTGACTAATAGCAACCCAATGGGCAGAGTGGAATGGGCCCACAGTTCCCCAGCCTGTGGTCTTTACAGAAGCAGGCTGAGACAACTCTCTCCTGCAAAATGGCTAATGGGTCCAACCTGCTGACTTTCACGTTGGCATCCATGAGCTGACTCACAGCACGGCACCACCAGGGGACTCATAAATATTGAACAGCCCACTATGTGTCTCTCAAGGGAGAAGGCAGAGCTGGTGGGTTTCTTTCAATGGATTTTGGTCTATCCACAAGGCTACAGAAGATAATTATGACTTAATTTGTCACAAGGTCCTGGCTGGGAAGGGCTGTCTGATCACAAGAAAGCCACCAATTAGCTGAGCCAACAGTGCCAAATTTATATGAACACGACAAACTTGGGAAACAAGCTATAACACAAGCCAAGAAAAAATAAGCACCATCAATTGTTAGTTTTTTTATGTTCTATATTTTGAGTTCTAAATTTAGTGTTGACAAATCATTTCCAATAAGTCATCTCCAGAAATATTCATAGCACTTTCTCCATAACCATACACCAAAAGATCTACAGGCAGCTGGTTCTCTCTCTCCTCCAACTCCCGACATTTGTCTGGGTCTGGGTATAACAACACTTTCCATCCATCCGTCCCATCCACCTAGTCCTTCTCAACCTTCCCATCCCCATATCCATCTGGTTTCTAAATATTAGAAGGTGTAATATATAACCTTTGATTACACACTGTATCTCCAGAAATAAAAATCAATTGGATTAAGCAGTCTTTTCTGATTCATGATTTT